GGTTGGGGGGTTATTAAGGTGTGAATAAATGTTTGTATTACTTTTTTTTTTCTTTTTTGAATTTCAGGGTGAGGGTTTTAAATTTTACAACTTGTGATAAAATTATCAGACTATTTCTACAGCCATTTAGATTAAACTAGTTTTTTTGCCCACGCATTGCTGCGGGAAAGATTGTTATATTATAGAGAAAATCATGAGTTTTTACATTACAGTATTAATTTATATGTACATACATACATACATATATATATATATATTTGTTTAAAGGTCTAGTAAAAAGGTTTGTACATTATATTATATTTTTTACTTTTCTTTTTTTGATGGTTCTTTGGAGCTGTAGCTGCAAAATAAAATTTTTTGAAAATATTAGTATAATTATTAGGAAATTAAAATAAAGAATTTAGAAATAGTGATATTACCTGATTTTTGATCGTTTTCTAGATGGCTCGGTCATCTGTTTGTCTTCTCAATTGCTTGGAAACTTTTGATGACTTTAATAACATCTGTTATTCAATAAATAAAAAGTATTATAAATATGTTGATATATTAATAATAATTTTGATGTACTAATATGTTGGTTTATTTTAGGCAACAAAGAAATTACCAATATTATATATCTTGCCCTGTTCTATTTTTTGACAAATGGTATCTGAATCTCATGTCCGTATCGATCCTTGTATCTATCCTTGTATTGCTTTATGTTGTAGAGAGGAAAGATTAAAAAGTTAGTTATATTACAATGTTCAGTACTGTATCAAATAGTATGTAATTTAGTATTTATAAAAGTTGTTACTTCTTTGTCAATTAAGATGCAATCAAGATTTATTAAACGTCTTGTAGTAAGGTTGTTATTCGTTCATAATCTGGAGATTGTTACTATGATAGTGATGTACACTTTATTTGGTCTTAATGCACGAATAGGTATAGTCATTTTTCTTAATTGTCAAAAGTAATGAATAAATGTTTAGTATATGAATAAATTACTTTATTGTATCGGTATGTGAATTATAGTGAAAGAGGTGTATTAATACTGTAAAGAATTTGGTATTATACATATTTCTATGTCATAATACCAAGTTATAGTGAAAGAGCTTAAAAGAATGAGTAGTAAATATGCCAAGATGAAACGAAAAAGCCAAAAAGCCAAAAATGTTAGAGCAAGTAAAAAGGGAGAAGAAAGATGATATGAAGACAGTTTCCCAACTCAAATAATAAGAATAGAACAATAAAGAATCAAAACTAAGATAAAATCCTGACACCAACAGGAAAAAAGGACCAATAGACCAAACTAAGTTAAAGTCATCAAAAAATTATGATGAAATAAGTGGCACTGAAATCAACCTGGAAGCTAAATTCAGTTGGTGGATTTACCTGTAGATGGAGCAACGTTCACTTGCACAAACAACCAAGAATGCCCTTCTCTTTCTAAATTGGACAAGTTCCAATTCTCGGTTTTAGAGGGAATAGGAGGAGGAAGTGAGATAAACCCAGTCACAGTTGTTTTGGGATTGTTTATATAAAGTTCAAGATGTTAAAATCCATCCCAATCATAATTACTATATAAAGAAAAGAGAATAGAAGAAAAAAGTGGACATAGATTAGCAAATAGTGAATGGCTATAGGCAAAGGTTATAAGTCATACATAGAGCATTATAAACGCTGCCTTAAATATGAAATAGCAACCAGTCAAAAGTCATCAAAGAAAGTGAGTAAATACAAAGGCAGGAAGTTGGAGTAGTAAATGAGTAGGATTAAAGCAGAGTAATAAATGATCGAAGATGAAATGCAAAGGATTAAAAGTCAAGCGCAAGGGAGAAGAACAGGAATAAAAAGAGCAATAAATGATTGAGAATGTAGCAGAGTAGTAAATAACATGAGATGAAATATGAAGGAGACAAAGCAAAGTCACCGGGAGAGCAAGGGACAGACAGATAACAAAATGCTAATATAGCAGTAACATTTATAAACAGTAAATGAGGGAAAAAATTTCAACAGTACATGATTTATAAGAGGACACGTAGCAAAACAAAGTCGGTCTGTAAGAATTAAGGAAGTAAGATTTGCTTAATCAGGTGGCAGAAGCAACGTACGGGTATACTAAGTGAAAACCAAATAATAGATAAATAATAATGAGTTTAGGAAACAGGAAAAAAGGGAAAAAAAGAGAAAAACAAAAAGGAAAAGCTCTCAATTTATTTATTTATTTTTTTCAGATTTTTCACAAATTTCAGGAATTAACTAACGATAAAGAAAAAAAAAGAAACAGTTCATTTAATGCCTCTGCAATAATATGGGTATAGATCATCAACCTAAGTAGTTAATGTGTCTGCAACAATATGGGTACATATCATCAATTTAGGTAGCCAAATCAGTAGTCTAAATATCACAGATCAACAAATTAATCAATCCAGAGGAAAAGAATCTATGTTTAAGGTACAGATCATCAACCTAAGTAAACGCGTCTGCAACAATATAGGTACAAATCATCAACCTAGGTAGCCAAATCAGCAGTCTAAATATCACAGATCAACAAATTAATCAATCCAAAGAAAAAAAATCGATGTTTACCTGTATTTCAGGTGAAGTCAGCAACAAAAAATATTAAAAGACGCTCATAGAACCTTCTTTCTGCACAAATTTATCTCCTGAAATAGATCAATGACAAAAGTGAATAGCAAACAAAAAGAAAGGAAAAACCACCAAAATAAAAGCAAAAAAAAAAAATTTATCTCTTGAAGCATGCCAACCAGCCACTGAAACAAAAACCAAAAAAAGAAAAAAAACGAAAAGAAAAAAAAAGGCAAAAGAAAAAAACATAACATTGAGTCGACCAAAAATAGAGGGAAAAGTAAATTAAATGAGCAAATCAAACCAACAAAGACAAAACCCAACCAAAAAAAGAAAAAAAAAAAAAGAGAGAGGCAAAAATGAGCAGAACATGGACTCGACAAAAAAATAAAGGGGAAACTTGACAAAAAAGTAAAGGGGAAACCAAACTAAATGAGGAAATCAGACCAAGAAAGAAACATGCAAGAAAAATTTTCAAAAAACCTGCAGCAAAACGAAGCAAAAAAGCATCCAAAAATCAGGCGAAAACAGAAAATGAAGCAAAAAAGCATCCAAAAATCAAGCCAAAATCCCGCAAGAAAAAAAATCAAAGAACCCACAACAAATATCACATAAACCATGGACGTTCACTTGTGACAAAATGGAATCAAAGAACCAGCCACAATCACCAAATCAAGAGAAGAAATTGGGGCGGAAAAAAAGATGAGGAAGACACAAAGATGAGGAAATGATAGAATGCTCCAGAAGACACAAAGACCAAGGGAGAGAGAAGGCAGAAAAAATAAATATTAAAAAGTCAATGGCAAAAATGCCCCTCGAATTAAGCCAGACAATGCGGAAAAATCAAGGGCAAAAACGTAAAATAACATAACAGGACACAATGGGGATTAAAAAAAATTAAGCATCAGAAAGTAAGGACAAAGCCGGGAATTCACTATTCATTTACTGTACAATGAATAGTGAATCACGCCTCTCCAGCATCAGAAAGTAAGGACAAAACCGGGAATTTACTGTTCATTTACTGTACAATGAATAGTGAATCCCGCCTCTCCTTTAGTATATATAATAATATCAATAATATTTTCTTTTTTTTTTAGGTTCTTTAAAAAAAGAAAGTTAATATGATCTCTTTTCTTGAAACAATTAACATAAAAATCTAAAGAAGATTAGAATCCGTTCTTTCCTATTATAATCAAGTTATTCTTGACCTCTATTTTTACCACATCATACTTTAGAATAATTTAAAAATTATGAAATTGAGTATTTCGAAGAGAGTATTTAAGGATAATTGACATTGTAAAAAAATTTATATAAAAAAAATTGTTAAACTTATTAAAATCTGAATTTTAACTCTTGCGGTTGATTTATACCATTTTGATTAATATAGTTATTTGATTGAAATGATATTAATCAACAGTAAGGGTAAAATTTCATAACCATACACTCTATAGAATATTTGTCTCCTTTTTTCAAATAAAAATACAATTAAAATTCAGAACTATGCACTTAAGGGTCTCTTTTTTCCCATATAAAAATTAAAATCAAAACTTTTCAATAAGAAAATATAAATAAATAAACTGGTGGTTCTATTTACATATCTCTTAACTCTTTATACCCCTTGTAAATTAAAATATCTTATTACAAAAGACCTTCATATAAAATGACAAAAAAAATTATGATAGGCTTAATTATGCAATTAAATTTTATTATAATATGAAAACTAATGACAGTTTTTTTTTTTCCTTCTCCATACACTCCATGGTTGTGTGGGGATTATTCTTTCGTCTTTTTTTTTAATTTTGTGTTTATCTTTTTTTTTTTTTTGGGTAGTCATTTTTTTTTAATTATATCGCTTTTTTATTCATCGTTTATAAAGTTGCGTAGATTTTGTTTCTGGTTTCGTTTTTTTTTTTGGCTTGTGCTCATATATTGTGTTTCCATGTTGTATTATTATTTTTTATTTATTTTATCATTTTATCTGTTTTACTCATACCTGAATTGATATCCTGAGGTCTAAATTTTCTAAAAATATGATAGTAAATTTCTTTATGTATAAAAAAGAGCGAAATAGTAATTTTTTATGAAAAAGGGCTTTATCTCTAAAGCTTTAACTAAAAAAATGGAGAGTTAGAGAAATAATAATATTAAAATAACGAATTAAAATAAAATGGTTAATGTGAAAAAAATAAAAGGGTGAAGAATTAATGTTTATGGAAATAGTTGAGGTAATTTTAGAATAATAGGAATGTGTAAAAAAAAAATTTGTTATTTTAAAATTATGTGAAATATGTCTTTAAAAAAAAAAGATGTGAAAAGTAAAGAGAGATGTGTGAATAACCCTTAATAAAATTGTAAAAAAGAAAAATTTTGAGGCACAAAAGTTTGATGGAGCCCTTTTCTAAAATGGCTCTGTGCCTAAAAATGAATAAATAAACAAAATTATTTGTATATTTATTAATTTTGAGTAAAATATTAAGTTCAGAAATATGTACTGCAATAAATTAGATCTGCTTACAAAAAACCTTTTTTTTTTCGTGTAGAATTGGAAACTCTGCATTTTGTTACCCTTAAATAATAATTCTATGACTTTTCATTGGCTTGACACTATCGTTCAGAATTGTCAAATTCATTATCCACGTAGGACGTTTTAAATATTTTAATAATTATATTAAATTTTATATGAAGGAAATAATTTCAAAGTAATCATGTACAAGTAGAGCCATCAGCGTTGGAGAACGTATATTGTTTAGAAAGATAGGAAAAAAAAAAAAGTTTCTTTTAATTTCCTTTCTTTACCGAATCATATTCTCTGAGGAACGAAACCCTCGCCTGTCTACTAAGGTAAGCTTTGCAGTTCCTATTTTATTTATTTATTCGATAAAGCTTCATGAATTTGATGAGTTAAGCTATTTTAGTTCCTTGTAATACAAGAGGTCAACTGGGTTTACGTTTTTTTTTTATTTTTATTATTATTAATCTGTGTGAACTTTTTGTAATTGGGTATAAGTCGAATTCTGGATTGACCCACTTCCTAATTTTGCTAAATAATATTCTCTGTGTGTGTTTTTTTTTTTTTTTTTTTTTGCTCTCTCTCTCTCCTTTCTGGGTTTTCTGGATGAAGTTGGTTCTCTCCTTTTTTTTTTTTTCCCTGTCTGAATTATTCATGTATCTTTACTGGTTAGATTGCTTTCTGGTATTCTTGCATGCTTTTTGAGTGAATTTATTGTTGTACTGCTGTTAAGTACTGCTTTAATGGGTAAAATAGGCCAGAGAAGAGTGAAAAGTTCTGAGTCATTTAACTTTTGATATAACTTGGCAGACTCTACTCTTTGAGGCTCTTGTTTTGTTGGGGTGAATATTATACAAAATAATCAATTTTGGACATTTTTCTGCCCAAACAGAAAAAAAGGGAGGAATAGTGAGGATTCTATAAATCCAATTTGCTTGTTAACTTTAGCAGCAGATTGACATGTTATCATTCGCATCAAGTTATGTACGTTTCACAAAACTTCACATCCGTATTGCTGTATTATGGTGCCGTTTTTATTGCCTGCAAAATGTGGAACTATAATAATTACCTCATGTATTCTGTGAAATTAGGTGCTTTTTTAATTATTTTTATTTTTATTTTTATGGACTGACAAGGCTAAGAGTTCTAGGAAACCGACATACTTTTTGACACTCACCTTCCTCCTTAGTACTAATCATTGATCATGTTACATAGGTGTGTTAAAGGATTATAATTTAGTTTAAAAAGTTTTCATAAATAACCGCTACTGCAACTTCAATATCCATCCGTTCCTATTTTTATTTTTTTATTTTTTTTGTTTGTTTTTTTTATGGCTATGGTGACGGCCTTTCTATAGTTTTTTCTTTCTTTGAAGTCCTGATATTTTTGGTTGCAATGGAAATTAGGGATTAATTGGAGTTTAGTGCCTTGTATTTATTGCTATCTTTTTTCTTTTCAACTTTAATATTATCTTTACTTCCATTTAGTTTGTATTAAGATATTGAATCTGTGGCATATAACTCTAATCCTGTGCTAAATAACAGGGGGCAATGCCTCGATACTGGATAGTTTTCGGCAGATAACAGAAGTAATTGTAGGGAATGGGAGGCTGCTGCTGTTCTTCCAGAAAAGCTCAGTTGCATGGTGCACCTGTATATTATTATGTCAGTATATGGTTGTTCTCCCGTCGCCTGTATATTACTGCATGTCGGCACGATAGCAGCCAGTCTTGGTATTAATATGTTATTCTTAAAAAGGTTTCTTATTCTTCCTTTTGCAGTGCCCACCAGCCTTGGAAGAGCACGAGGCTTTAACATCCCATAACGGAGTCGGGTCTGAACTCACTGCGGGATTCCTGGTTCATTTGGATCTTGACACATCGACGCCTGATACTTACCAACCCCCTCCTGCACCTTTGCCATATGATGTGGTCTTCGGTTGTCGAGGGTCAACGGATTCTGGGTCCTCTAGAGAAGAAGCAATCAGCTGTAGTAGTTTTAAAACCTCAGCTGCTTGTGTAGAACTCGAGGAATCAGATTGCAAAGCTCATGGAAATTCTTTGGATGTCTTACCGAAGACGTTGGAACTCGCAAAACCATGCGAACTTAACGTTTTACCTAAAGAAGAAGAGGATGTTTGCCCCATTTGTCTTGAAGGTACATAGCGTCTCTGTATTTGAACCTAGTGCTCGCAATGGTTCGTTTCTAAATAATTCATATATTCCTTCATGCAGAGTACGACACTGAGAATCCGAAATATGTTATAAAATGTGAACATTACTTTCACCTGTCATGCATTCTTGAGTGGGTGGAAAGAAGCGACGCCTGCCCCATTTGTGATCAGGTATGCCTACAGTGATAAGTAACTTGTGTACCAATAGATTATTGCAAAAGCAAGGCATGGCTTCTAATATGTGAGCACACACGCACAAAAAGAAGAAAAGAAAAGAAAAAAAAAGAAGCAAATTACCTTGGCAAAATTCTCTCCTTTGTGAAACCATTCTGTCGTGTATCAATGGTGACTGGGATGAATGCTGTTCGGATCTTATGCCAGCACGTTGCTAAGATTTTCTATTCTGGTGTAACAGGAAATGGTTTTTGACCAGACCGCCAATTAGTGCCTCTGTAAATACGTTGTCCAAATGGAAATTTATTTGTTGTTTGAAACTAGAAAACTCCAACTCGATGGCCAGCGTTTGGAACCTGCATATCGCTAAACTTTAGTTGCTTTTGTCATTCAGTCCTCGGTTGAAAGAAATCAAGTTCACAAGTAAATGATGGTACAGTTTGCCGGTTATTCATTTTTCTTTGCAATGTTCAGAAGTTGACGGTTGGTTTTCTCAATTGTATCCAAAGATTCTAAATGGAGAATTTGGAGAATGAAAACTCGGGAATTCTCTAAAGGTGGAAGTGCCGATCAACGCGTCTTCCAAGTCTGCGTTTCTCCTGTACATACCTTCTTTTTGTTTCTCATTGAATGTCACAATTTAATTTGTACCCTGGTATTGTAAATTGCATATCTCGTTACATTGGAATTGATTTGGACAGCATTGGTTGGTGTATGAAAAGATTGAAATGATCAATATGCCATTATACTCGTTTATGGTCAGTTTTGGTCTCCTCACTTAGAGTTTGTTTAGTTGCTTTCCTCGCGTTATATACCTTTCTTTCCTTCCTATTTTCTCTCACTTTTAGCTGAATTTAACTATTCATTTCTTTGGTATGGCATATCCTGTTCTATAATTTGAGTCTTTAGCTCTTCTTCTTCTTCTTCTTCTTCTTCTTCTTACAATACTGTTTTCGGGTGGTCAATGAGTTATGTTTTGGAGATTAGTATTAAAGTTCAAAAGAAATTGTGATTTCTTTATTTTATGCTTCTAAAATTTTAGGAAATGAATGGTTTAGAATTAATTGGGATAAGTTTAGTTTTAGAATCCCTAGTGTGTTGATTTCATATCTGTGTAATACAAATCATGGACAACCGATAATTGGGTGTTATAGTTTGGGTTAAAGACAATTAGTCTAGTTCCTTTCCTTGAAGATTTTAACTAAATAAACAATAATCTTGTTGTTTTTAGGAAAGTTTTTGTTTGTAGTATTTTGATCCAGCAAAGTCACATTTATTTTTGCTTAATCGTTGTGTCCAAAACAAGTAAGTTTCGCATATCTATTTCGTTTAATTTAATTTTTGGAATTATTTAAGCTTCTAATTTTATTTGTAGTTTTCTTTTTTGGACAATTTCGTCTATAAATATGTTAGTCATATAAAACATGAGATAGAATATTTGTTAGCATTCTGTACATGTTAGTCTCATGATAGTCTCATGAATATTTTAAGCCCCACATTTCAAGTAGGAATATTTTTAATGCATTTTCTTGATATTCCATATGAATCAACAAATTAAGTAAATATTCTATTATCGGTATTATGAGGGAATCAATGAATTTTAACACGGTTGTATTCTTTTTTTTTTTTTAATTTTTTTGAGTAAAGGTATGACTTATCATCAAATCCAGAAATTCTAGAATGAGGTAAGAACTATTTAAATAAGAGAAATAATGTTTTTGACTGTTAGATTAAATTATTAACGGTTAGATTTGTGCAGATCTGTATTAAAAATTTACAATACGTTATATAAAATTGTTCATGCTGAATATTTGACTGTTGAAAAACATATCTAACGGTAAAAATGCTTACTCTGGGTCACAATTTTAACGGTAAAAGAAGCCTTTTTAAGTAATTATTGTAGATTAATGTGGGAGTCGGTGGATTTTCATTGTAAACCTTGACGTTAATAGTTGACAATCACGCGCAGTACTTGACCTGCTTCGCTCAAGAATTTGACAAAATCTTCGAAAAGGGTCATACTCGTACATGTATCAAAGTACATGCCTAACTCTTGGAGTTGAATAAATATTTCCCCATGTAAATCATAAAAGTCAAAGTTTGCTGCTAAGGAATCTAAAATGTCCTAAAACAAACTTTTTATGTCAAATAATAGGAATAGAAAATGGAATGAGTAAAAAAGAAGGGCTGCTTTTGATCCCTTTTTGTTTTCTACTTCTTTCTCCCACTAAATAGGACCAAGTTTTAGGTTTGGAACTTCATTATCTTTATCTTATGCCTGCTCAGAGTTTAGTTTATATAAAATCAGACAACTATGTTATCAAAAAAGTAAATGGTTTGTCATGATTTCGTAAAAATTTATTATTTAAGTCATTTTAAATAATTTAGTGTCATCGTGACCTTTTATTTTCTCTTTATTAAATGAATAGTAATTATTAATTTTTTAGTAGAATAAGATAAATAATATTTTTTTACCATCTTGAGTGGTTTTTTTCAATGTTATTATGCGATTTCTTTTGATAAATTTTAAACCCATGTACTCTCTAAAACTATTTAAGGCAATAGTTGTATGAATCTGTACTAAAGTTGTGATAGACGTACGAGTGCCTAATAGCAGGTATTGTTGATAATCACTCCATGATCGTCCAATCTAGTGAGTGTCTATGAATCCCATGCAATGCATTAAAATTTCTACCAAAAAAAAAAAAACGTTGAAAGGTCACGAAGCTCACACCTTTTGAGAAAATAGTTTGCTTCTCCTTTTGAAACAGTTTTCTTATTTGAGACGAAATGAGAACATTATTTTCCAAAAAAAAAAAAACGTTGAAAGGTCACGAAGCTCACACCTTTTGAGAAAATAGTTTGCTTCTCCTTTTGAAACAGTTTTCTTATTTGAGACGAAATGAGAACATTTTTTTCCAAAAAAAAAAAAGAGTAAACATTTATCTCTTGTATCTGTAGTAGAGAACATCAATCGTTAGTTAACTATTTCTAAATCAACAATAAATAAACTTGAGAAATTTTTTTTATCAGGGTATAAAAAACTAAGACAAATTTTTTTTTATCAGGGTATAAAAAATACCTTAATAATAAAACATAATTTTTTAACGCCATAATGCTTAAAACATTCCTTGTATTTTGTCAAAATACCATTTTCATCTCTCTTATTATTCAAATACTCAAAACATTCCCTTTGTTTTTTTAAAACAAACTCAAAATATCCCCTGAAGCAACTTAATTTTTTTAAAATATCAATATTACCCTTCCCAATCTTTATCAAATACTATTTAAAACATTATTAAACCAAAATGTTATTTAAAATCAAAATTAAAAAATAAAAAATTGTCAAAATAATTGAAGTATTTTTTAATTGGAATATTTACTTGAACATTTTAATTTTTTTATTTAACTTTTAAGTTAAACCATATCTAAATAATATAATATAATATAATAAGGAAAGGATAATCATGACATTTTTAAACATTAAATTATTTCTGGGTGTTTTGGGTATATTTGTAAAAGCACATAGGTGTTTTAAGTATTTTTCTTTTTTAACGGTCAGATGTTCATTAAATTTTGTTACAATAAATTATATTTTTTTAATTTGATATATAATTCTGATTTGATCTGACAATTAATGGAAGGTTTCTTTTTATTTTTAACACAAATTCATCAAACAAAAATCATAATTTGGGCCCTTAACCAAAGATGTTGAATTGTTGATGCTTGAAAGTCCAAACAATTTGGAGCCATTAATTCCACTTTTGGACAAATCACCTAGAAAGTAAAACCCCAATTTTCTTGGGAGTTGCTGCATGAATCCAATCAGCAGGAAGGTTAGTGGGGTGGGGGTGAGGTTGCTATCCACTTAAAAAGACTTGGTCGACCAAGAAATTTGACCATATAACCAAAAACATTTTGTGGGTCTCAATGGATTTTGTGTCGTTTTCTATAAGCTGCACAATGTAGCATCTATAGTTCAAGAGGCACAAATAAAAAGACATTTTTCTGAGAGGATCCTAGGAAGGTAATTAGGGACAGAATTTTGGGGCAATATGTTGTATAAAGCTTTTGCATGTTCTTTGGGCTACATTAATCTTTAGGTTGTGATTTACTGGGGACAACTAGCTCAAATGAAGTACATAGCTTTTGTAAGAGGACTGAAAAATTTGCTCTCGAAGATAGTGATGTGTGATTTTGCATGATTGGAGGCCTATTATGTAATATAAGACCATTTCCATGCAAATGGTAATGGTAATGTTATATTTGTCAATTAAAAAAATATGAAAATAGCATGCATATGGGATGTGTTATTTTATTTTGTGTTTCAATAAATAATATTTTAAATATTATGTCTAATTTTTGTTATAATTGTAGAATTTTAGAACTTGGGTAAGTAAACTTTTAATATTAAAATAATTTTAAAATGACACTATTGTAATGATTAAATCAATATATCAATCAATAGCAATCTAATGTCAAGTTTGATATGCTATACTTAATGCCAAACTTATATTTAAAAACGAATATGCCTCTATGGACCTAACAATACAAATATGTCTCTACAAACTTATTTTGACAAAGGCATATTTTTAGCAGTTTCACTCATAAATATAAAAGAAAATGAATTTATTATATTGAATTATAAATAAAATGTCTGAATTTTCTCTAAAATAACGCCAAATAACCAAAATAAGAATTATTCTAACAATCTCCTACTCGCGTTCTTTAAAGCAACCGTGACATCTCGTGAATCCCTAAACCTTCTAGGCGACCCTCAAAAACTTATCTTGCAGGCTTTCACATCTCCACATTCCACTACATATCATCCTTATGAGATGATATTTCCTCTTTATGTGTTTTCTTGTTTGATGGCCTCTTAGTACCTTGTAATTTACAACCGTGTCACTATTACCACAATATAAAAAGTGTCATGTGTTGTTCAAGGTTAGAGACAATCACTAAATCCATCAACAGAGCAGCTTACAGCCTCTTTAGCAGCTTTTGAAGAAGCCCCAAAGTGAATAAATACTGTTTAATGTTAAGTATCTAAATCCCACCGGACAATTTAGGCCCTGTTTATTTTGTTAATTCAAATTACAACTCAAGTTTTTGATATAATGTTTTTTCTTATAAAATTTCAAATTCAATTTTTCTGCTACAATATATTCTCTCACATGAAATCACCTTTTAACTTAAGTTTTTAACTTAAACGAGCCAAATGAATGAGGGCTTAATATTTCTCTGACTCCACCGTTTAAAAAGTGAACACAGAACTTGAAGTTAGACGTCCTCGAATTTAGATCGGATTCAAAATCTAAATAAGTGTATCCAACTACAAGATCCGAACCCAAATACATTAGATATAATTTCTTATTCTCTGAAAATACTTAAGACAATGGTAAGAATAAAATAAACAAATACCTTCGTGCTACATCAAAAAGACTCGGGAGAGAAAGAGCTTAAACATTATTTGGTCATACTAATATTTCTACTTCTAAAAAATGCGTTAATTTGAAAATTTTCCATTAGAGAATAAGATTTGTCTCACTTTGCTCATACAATTCAAAATGATACAAATCTCTTCCCAAAACTTTGATGTCATTTTTAGTTGGTGGAGCAAAGTGAGACAATCTCTATTTATTTAGGGGCTAAATTTAAATTAGTCCCTTGTAACTGGTGGGATGTTGAACAAGTACTTGTTCTACCAAAACAAGGAGCTTGTTGCGATAAGACATCTATACCAATAGCGTATGTTTTTTTACTGTTATGTGGTCAAAATAAAAAAGGTGGAATATTATTATTAGTACTCTTAAATTTTAGGACCATTCTTATTTTACTTCTTAAACTTTAAAAATTCTCACCTTATTTCTTAAATTTTGTATTGTTCCAACTTAATCTCTTCTGTTTTAATTTTTGTTATAAACAAATAGAAAAAAAAAGAGAATAATGCAGCGTGAACTTTCTGTTATAATTTTTGTTAAGAAATATATATATATAAACCATATGATCACACTTATCTCTCTCTTTTTTCCATTTGACTTTAACATATATTCTTGGGCTTAAATGGGACAAATTAAAGTTAAGAGAAAAAGTGAGTTTTTAAAATTTAGGGACAAAGTGAAATTGACTTCAAAATTTAAAGGACATCAATGTGACTAATCCTAAAAAAATCTACAAAACTGACAAAATCTAATAGTAAAATTTATTGTGTTAACTTTTAATTTAGCCTCGAAGAATAACATTCGTTTCATTTTTTCCATGCAACTTAAAAGGGCATAAAATTTCTCCCCAAGCTTATCAATAGTTACAGATTTGGTACTTCATCATTGAGGCATTAATATTTTAACAGTTTTAATTCACTTGCTCGTTGAATAGCCTATGCATCATTAAAACTGTTAAAAAAATATGTATCATTTACTAACGGGCACGTGATCTACACGTGACTTATAATAAGTTTTAGGGAGTTTTGTTGTTATTTTGAGTTGCATGGGGTAAAGTAAGACAATCTTTATTTTTTGTATTAAATTTGGAATTTACCTAATAACAAAACTTAATGAGTTTTTTTTCTTAATACACCATAATATTCTTGCAAGAATTGATTTGATAAACATCTCTCAAACTATGATCTTGTCCCGCCCACTAAAAAAGGGTCATTACACCCCTACATAAAATCGTTCAAAATCTCCGATCTGTCCAAATTCTTCTATGATACTATTTTTTGAGATTAGTTTTACTTTTTTTTTCTTAACAATAGGTTTTTCGATTTTTATTATGATTTAAAAAGGGGTATTTGATCCTACTCAAAGCAATTTTACTTGTGTGTTTTGTAGACAAATATTGATAGAATGAGTTTGAAGACATTTATATAGTTAAGACGATGCAATGAGCATTTTTACAATATCAGCAAGCAAGTTGACATAAGATCCCTTGTTGGGGGAATTTATGAAATTATAATTAGATCCACATCAACGTTATGTTGGTATTATAAACTATTTTAGACGAAGGAGGTGTTTTTGAATGATTTAGGTAATTGATGAATGTAAACGTTTTAAATAATTAGGGAGCAAGTTGGCAAAACACCCATAAATTACAGGTATTTATGAAATTAATCATTCTCTTAGACAAAGGAAAAATACTTTTAGTTTACTTTTTTTTTTTTTAAAAGGAGGGAAATTGCATTCAAACAAAATAGTGATACAAACACCACAAAAACAATGCAAATGATCATGCACTATAAAGTCATAACCCTCAAGTGTAACGGAAAGACGTATGCTTGAGGCCTGAATATGGGAAATACCTCAATACACCAAGAGCAAGCACATATAAAACTCTACATGTACAATCGATGAAAACTTTAGATTAAATGAAAACTAGATCTTTGTAGCACAAAGGCCACCATAAACTCCACATAGAAACAAATCTAATGGACACCAAACAAATAAACCGCCAAGATTCACAAACAATAATCTCGAAAGATAGGGAAACTACATCCATTATTAGAGGTTTTAATTAAAGCCATTAACACCACAAAAACCATAAACTACTTGGGAAAAGCAATACTATTATAACATACAAACAAAACCTACAAAACAACTAGGAAAATTTAGTAACATAGATAGAGGGTCCATTTTGTTCTAAGACTTGAACTCATGATATTGATTCTACTCTCTCACAAAAAAAAATTAAATAAAAAAAGTTCCTGCCAATGGGTTTTCTCAAAAAATGTAAATTCAAAATCAAAACCACTGACTTGAACGCATGAACCAAACGGGTCAAGAGCCACTGCCAGTGATGTATGCGGGTGAAAAGATTGGAGAGCACAGATCCAAGAAGGATCAGAATCATTGCATACGAGCTTTTCTCATGCAACGCATGAGACCCACACACCACCTTTGATGAACACCATCACGAGCTCGACCATCGAAGTCGCTACACCGCGAGGGCCAGACCCCTCGAGTTGTCACTCATTTCCCATCACACGTGCCTAGAGACACTGAAGATCGCTGAGAGTCCACCACTTCTCTCGCCCTTCCATCAATCTCTCCAGCATTTGCCTCGTCCAAGAAGACAAGGCTCAGGGCTTGCAGAACCATCGAAGATTTGGCAATCTATCTCTACGTTGCTAGCCTTCCCTTCCGGCCATTGCTTCGAAATCACTTCAAGAAATTAGATGAAGGATTTTGGAGAAGAAAATGAAATCTTAGGTTATTTGGTAGAGAAGAAATGGGGAACGAAGGAAATTATAAATCCATAGGGCACACCATATTCTTATTTGTATTAGGATGTTATTGTAAAATAAATTAGATTTGATATTTTCTTTTTACTTTTCTTTCTCTTCTACTAAACAACATGAAAAAAAAACTCCCCTTCTATTATTTTACTTTCTTCACTTTATAGTATGTTTGGTAGGAATGAGAGCTGAAGGGAGGGAGAGGGGTGGAGTGAGAGTCCTAATCTCTTGTTTGGTTGGTGGGAGGGGGGAGGGGGGAGGAAGAGTCCTAATCTCTTATTTGGTTGGAGGGAGAAGGGAGGAAGATGAGAGGTGGAGAGAGACTTTCTCCATCCGGACCCACCATTTTGCATCCCTCCTTTAATGGGCAAGGATTCATACAATTTACCTATTAAAGATTTGAAAAGACTATTTTATCTTTAAAAAGTTTAGTATGAAATTAGTAGAACGAACAAAAAAATAATTAAACAAATATTGATTCATCCATCTTTTCAACTCTCTCTCCCTCCTACCAAACAACACAAAAGATTGCCATAATTCTCTCTATCCCTCACATTCTCCATCCCTCTAACTCTCTCCATCATTCATCTTCTCCATCCCTCTTACCAAACTGAACCTTTGTATTTTAGGTAGCATTCCTTTCTATTTTTCATCCTTTCTATCAAATATAATATTATGGCTTGTTCAGTTGTATTTTTGAGTTATGGTGATTTGAGTGTAGATTTTGAGATGAATTTGAGTTATAATTTGAGTTGAAGTTGTAACTTGAGTTTGTGTTTGAATTTGAGTTATGATTTGAATTGAGAATCTATTTGAGTTTGTGTTTGAGTGTGTCAAAACTTGAATTTGTATTTAGATAGTATTTTAATAAAAACTATATGGTGATGAAAAATTTTAATATGGTATATGGGTGAGATTTTATTCGTCTCTTCGTTGTAAACGCATAGAAAAAAATCATCTCAATCGAAATTAAAACGAAAAAATTTTGACGTTTTTAAAAATAGAAAAAATACTGTTTATTAACTTAAGTTAAAAGAGAAATTTAAATTTAAATTTTAATTCTAAACTCAAGTTAAAACTCGAGTTAAAACTTAAATTTAAATTCAAATTTTATAAATAAACTTAAAAAAAATTATAATTTGAGTTTAAATTCTTTTTGAGTTTTACTCTAATTCTAAAACAACATGCCACCAAACTCGTCCAAATTATTTTATAAATTATTACTTGCTTCAGTTGAAAAGGATCGACCTCCTGAGTGACCTTCAGAACATTTTGTCTGCCACCAAACTACTTTTCCTGACATAATTAAATTTACAAAAATGACCTCAAGGTTCTATCCTCTACGTTTTTCAATTCAAAATTTGACTTTTAAAGTCTGTTTAATCGATTTAAAATTTTAATTTTAATTTTATTATAGTTAAAAATTATTATAAAAAATTATTTATTATAGTTAAAAATTTTTACATAAAATTATATTTTAATTTAAATTAAAAATTTAAATTAATGAGTTAACGAGGCTTAAATAAATGAAAAAAATTTCTCATGTGAGCAGTATTAGTTGTTAAAAAAAATAAAAAGTTAAACGTAAATTTTGTAATTAAATACAATAAGCTACATAAAATCTAATCTTTTCCATTTATTACGAATATCGTTTCCGATATTATACTAGGAATATTTCGTAATTAACTTGTCCAAAAATAACATGATTTGTTTCACTTATAAGTTATTACCATTTAAACTTGCAGTTTCTTTCTTTTCTACTTAAAAAAACCTCCTTTGCACTTACTATTTAATCATAAAACAACTGTATTTTATTTCTTTTCTCGTTACAGATTAGCATATTCTTTTACTTAAAAAAAAATAGAATAAACAGACAGAGACAGATAAAGAAGGGTAGACTTTTTCCTTACAAAATACAAAGTGCGAGCTGAGAACTAACAAAGGGAAAAAACTGAGGAAAAAAAAAGAAAAAGAAAAGTGAAGGGTAAACGTGTAATTTCAGTCCACATGTTTTTCCCAATTCAACTCGCACTTTTTCCTATCCCTTGTGTCCGTGAAAAGCAGCTTTCGCAGACATGAATATCTTTTGAATATCTTCTCTCTCTTACAAGTGTGCTTTTATTCATTCTTACTTCGAAACATTCACATATAATTCTCCGGGAAAGTAATTTCCCGGCATCCAAACACTTCAAACAACCCCGACGAAAATGTCACCACCGCCACAAGTTTCCGCCATTACTTTTCTTCTTCTACTTTCGACTCTTACGGTAATGTCGTCAAAAGCCAATTCCCAACCTCCCCAAAGAGAACGCCATCTTCCCAATTCTTCGGGATTTTCCTTTTCATCGAAAAGAAGCCTTTTCCAGGACGACGAGTTGCTGTCTACGAAGGTCTTAATCCGTGGAAACTCGACGATCTCGAGCGAAAACAACACCTTCGACCTCGGATTCTTCTCTCCGAACGGCAAAGATTGCTTCTTGGGAATCTGGTACTCGTCGATTTCTCCGCCGACCTACATTTGGGTTGCGAACCGCGAGAGGCCGATCAGGAACAACAACGGTACGGATTATTCTTCACCAACCCTAGAAATCACGGCCACCGGACGATTGGCGGTCAAGGACTCCGGTAATTCGATCGTGTGGCAGAGCGCGAACGTCGATGTCGCGACGGAGCTGGTCCTCTTCGAGAGCGGAAACCTGGCTCTGCTAAACCCTAAGGGAACTGTCTTGTGGCAGAGCTTCGACTATCCGACGGACACGTGGCTTTCCGGGATGAATCTCACGACTTCCAAGGGGTTGACCAGCTGGCGAAGCTCGTCGGACCCCTCGCCGGGGTTTTATTCCCTGCAGCTGAGACCAGACTACGGCGAATTCGACCTCGTCTTCAACAACACTGAGGCTTATTGGAGCACCGGAAACTGGACCGGCGAGGCTTTCGCCAATGTGCCGGAGATGATGGTTCCGTACATCTACCGCTTCCATTTCGACGACCCGTTCAAGCCAACGGCGTCGTTTGGGTTCACCGAGATCGTTGGGTTCCCCCGAAAAGCCAGTCGACAACGGCTTGGGCCTGCCATTGACCCGGTTCCAGATGGACTATTCGGGTCAGCTCCGGCAGTACACGTGGTCGGAGCAGACGGAGAATTGGAACAGGTTCTGGTTTCAGCCCGATAACACGTGTCGGGTTCTCGGCTCGTGCGGGAAATTTGGGCTCTGTGCCAATGCTAGCGAGAGATCTTGTGAGTGTGTCTCTGGGTTTGAGCCTGTTAATTTGTTGAGTTGGGAATCTGGGGATTTCTCAGATGGTTGTCGTCGTTTGGATGATGATGATGTCGTTTGTGGAAAGAGGGACGATGGGTTTGAGGAGGTTGGTGGTTTTATGAGGTTTGCGGGTGAGAAAGTTGAGCGTTTTAACTTTAGTTTGGATGCTTGTGAAAGGGCTTGCTTGGAAAGTTGTGCTTGTGTTGGTTTGTACCATAATGGGAAGTCTAATTTGTGTGAACTCTTATTTGGGTCGCTCTTAAATTTGAGGAATTTGAGTTCTGATGGCTCAGGTGCGGATTTGATCTACGTGAGGGTGCCAAAAGGAGGGGTTTCGAATAAGAAGAAGAGGAAGGCTTTGAATTCTTTAGTTTTGGCTGCTAGCATTGTTGGGTCGATTGCGGTTTTGGGGTTTTTGGTTTTGCTTGTTTTGTTTCTTGTGAGGAGACGACGGAGGAGGGCTGTGGAAGAAGATGGTGCCTTACCAATTTTGACTTTGAAGGTGTTTACCTACAAAGAGCTCCACCAGGTGACACGTGGCTTCTCAGAGAAACTCGGCCATGGCGGCTTCGGAGCAGTTTTCCGAGGGAAGTTGTCGGATTCTACTCTTGTAGCTGTGAAACGGCTTGAGAGACCTGGCACCGGAGAGAAAGAGTTCAGGGCTGAGGTGTGCACAATTGGGAACATTCAACATGTCAATCTTGTGAGGCTAAGAGGGTTCTGCTCGGAAGATTCTCATAGACTGTTGGTTTATGAGTACATGCCTAATGGCGCTCTGAGTCTTTACCTGCGCAAAGAGGGTCCAAACTTGAGCTGGGACATGAGATTTGGAGTTGCAATTGGTACTGCAAGAGGCATTGCGTATTTACACGAAGAGTGTAGAGATTGCATCATTCATTGTGATATCAAACCCGAGAACATTTTGATCGACAGTGATTACACACCGAAACTGTCAGATTTCGGGTTGGCAAAGCTACTTGGCAGGGATTTCAGCAGGGTTTTAGCCACAATGAGGGGTACATGGGGGTACGTTGCCCCGGAGTGGATATCAGGCGTGGCGATCACTACTAAGGCTGACGTTTATAGCTATGGAATGACATTGATTGAACTAATTGGTGGCCGCAGAAATGTGGAAGCGCCGCCATCTGCCAGTGGGGGCAGAGAGGGAGGTGCTGTGCCAGAGAAGTGGTTCTTTCCTCCGTGGGCGGCAAGGCAGATAATTGAGGGCAATATAGCTGCGGTGATCGATCATAGGCTCGGTAGTGGTTATAATGTTGAGGAGGCGCAGCGTGTTGCTCTGGTGGCCGTGTGGTGCATACAGGACGACGAGGCGGTGAGGCCTACAATGGGAATGGTAGTGAAGATGTTGGAAGGAGTTGTGGAAGTGACAGTTCCTCCGGCACCGAAATTGCTGCAAGCTCTGGTTTCCGGGGAGTCTTTTCATGGTGTTAAGGTTGATTCTACTGGATTGTCCCCGAATAATCAAAGACTATCCAATGCTGGCTCAGAATCATCTCTTGGTAATGCTTCTTCCCCAGTAAATGATGTGAATGATACACAGCCAAGTTCATTTGTAGGCCAACGGTAAATTGCACATACAATCCGGTAGTTTTTATTTTCAGACATTTTCCCCCCAAAAGAAGGAGTTTTGTTCTAGTAAAAATGAAATATAGTAAGGGTGATTTCTTGTAAAATATCTAGTGATGCAAAGTTGGTTGATGGTACCTGTGGAATTTTGCCGCATTGAAAGGAAGAACTTTTTACGCATCCAAACGTTGATCTCATTCTTTTGATTTGTTCTAAATTTCTAATCACACAACACTTTAAATGTTAAAGTTGCATAATTGATTAAGATACTGATATCAGATAACATTTGTTAAAATTCTATTAAATTTGGATAGGTTTGACATATTTGATTATGATACTAACATAGAATTAAATTTTGGTTTTTGTGTATTTCCTCTTTTAGGTGGTTCCTTCTTTCCTCTGACATTTTTTGACTATTTATTTATTTTATTTCGTAAAATTAGAATGTGGGCTTTGGGTATTATAAGTTGTTTAGTGGGTGCTAATTGAGATGTCATGTTTTAAATGGTTTTGATGATAGTTTTTGAAAAAATAAAATAAAATTCGCACGAGATATGTTTCTTTTGACTTAGTTGAGTTGTTTTGAAAGTTATATCAGAAATATGTATTCCATATCGTTCTCTCATAGAAATTTCTTCTGTTTTTATGGGAGACTGAAATTTGACATGGCACGTAGAGTTACCTAGTTGAAGAAACAGAAATCTCCAAGCGGTCACATGCCCTATTATAGAAGCCTTATTATTGAAGATAATTGAATAACGCCAAATATAATCTGAAATTATTGTGCAGGCTGCTTGTTTTTTTCTTTAAGAATCACAATGCACTTTTCCAGTCAGGACAATTTCACTTTTGCCCTTTTCAATAGTGATGAATTATTGTGGGATTCTGATGTCACAGTTCATTATCACAATCTTTGACATTCTCTCTAGATCGATACAGAAGGATATGCCCCATTCTTCAAAAAAAAAAAAAAAAAAAAATTGCCGCTGCATCTTTAACTTTTATATGGCCTTTTTGCTTTAAAATAATATACTATGGCCATCATACCTTTCTGTATTCTATTGTAAAATGCTCTGGTGGTGAAAGGATCGTTGGATTCTTTTTAAAACACTTTCTGCTGGAAAAAGAGTCATGTGAGTCATGACCATGATTCTTTTTGTCAACGACTTTTGCTGAAGAAAATCTTTAGCACAATTGCCCTTGAATTTATCATGATTTAGTAAATTACTTCTTAAATTTTTAATTTTGACAATTAATCTCTTAAACTTATAAATTTATCGTAATGTGTCTTATTTTATTAAATTTATTCAAATTTTTATTAGATTTAAGGGATTAAACATTGAGAAATTAAAAAATTTGTGTTACATTTGAATTTAGATGTTAAAATTTTTCGTTAAACATGTTTTTTTGACACTAATTTAACACAATTATCGCAAATGGAGCGTATTGCAACAACTTTACAAGTTGAGAGGACAATTTATTAAAATTAAAAGTTTAACAGACAATTTGTTAAACCACGATAAGTTTGGAAAGGTAAATGTGCTAAAAACCCAAACATTTATTTATTGCCCCTTTGGGGTGGGTTTTTAATGGACTTTTTATGGCAGGATATCCTGCTGTTTCTTTCTTATTTTTCTTCTTCTTCTTCTCCTTTTTTTTTTTTTTTGAACGAATGGCCATGAGATATAAAGAAATTCGTCTACAAATAAACACTAGATCCACCAGTAATTTTAAATAAAAACGCTCAAAGGAGATAAACGTGTACCAAGTTCCAACAATAGAAAATCAAATAAGCACACCAAATTTTGAGTGCACAAATGTTCTTTCAATAACACCTTTATACTTTTGATTGATTGACATCAAGAGACCTATAACTCAAAGGCTTCACACAAAACCCCATAAAATGAATCTAGCGGACAAGAGGCACTACCAAACTCAGAGAGTGGGAAAACCAGCTTCGTTATTATACACCCAGAAGAAATACATTGCACCCTTCTATCACTCCACGGATAATATTACAAAAGGCAGTTTTATTCACAACTCCCCTTTTTACTCTCTACACCTCCTAACTACACATCTCACATAAATTTTTACATGATTAAATTTATTTTCTACACACCGTTATTATTCTAAAATTAACCTAACTATTTTCATAAGATTATTAATTCCTAATCACTTCTTCTTTTTATACCCACCATTTTATTTCAATTTGTTACTTTAATATTATCAATCTACAGTAGAACCTCGATAAATGAATATTCGATAAATTAATAATCTCGATTAAATAATAAAATTTTTCATCCCGACTTGGACCAATATATTAAATTAATAATCTCGCTAAACGCATAAGATAATAATTTTTTCTTGAATCCTTTAGGGCCGATGAAAATATAAATTAGTAATTAATCAAATACAATAACAATAATAAATAAGAAATAACATATAAAATTCACAATGTTACGGAGTTGTTCTTGACAACTTTCAGTTTTCTCACTTCAACTCTTTTCCAAAATATGGATCTAAAGTTGTTTGTTTCTTTTTTGTTCATAACTTGAAGTCAACCTCTCCTTATCTCATCAGTCAATGTAGAAATGAGAAGCCAGGAAGGAGAAAGATATGAAAATTCTAATGATTTAAGACTAAAAATAAAACTGATGACTAATGTATTTATAGAGTTTATGTTCTATGTATGTACTTAATAACTTTTGAAATTCTATATGTGAACATATTAATTTTAAATACATCTATTTTTTTCTATTTATAACCCATACACAAATTTTGGTCAAAAGAATAATACATGTACTAAGATGGAATGAAAATACAAATCTCTTCCTAACTTAATAAATAATTATTTATTGATAAATTAATAAATTATTTATTTATCGATAAATGAATAACCTCACTAAAATAATATTTTTTTTGGTCCCAACAATATTATTTTATAGAGATTTTACGTATATCTCTATTTTCTATTCAGCTGAAGCTTTAGGCATGAAGCCTTTTTTTTTTTTTTTTTAATTTTGAAAAAAAGGGCCTGGTTTTCGTACATTGGACAAGATGTGATGAAGTTCCTAATGCTTTGATAGCACAAGGCTTACATGCAGCTCTTCACGGAGGCATATGGTAGGTCATCTGATATTGAGAATGTCATGCTTCCATACTAGACCTTCTGGTGGGCCGGTGGCTGGTATCTATAGTGAAATGATAAATAAGATAAATACCTTTTAAAATATATGTATTATGATTTTTATTTTTTATTTTTGATTAATTATCTTTTTAGTCAAATAACTACGTCAGTAAAAGAGTATTAATAAAAAATAAGAGATAAAAATCTAGATTCATACACTTTTAAGCATAAGTTCAGTAATTTTTTCATGGTTTGAAATTGTGATGATAATCAAGAAATTATCCTTTCTTCTTGATTTTTATGCTTTGAAAACCAATTCAATCTTTAAGAGAGCTTAAATTCTTTTGTTAGAACAACGTAGCTATATCACTTCATCTAAATAGCTTAACAAATGCTTCACTATAGTTTTTTTTGCTTTTGTTTTAATAAGAATATGTCACGCCCCCAAATCGGGGTTAGTGACGTGGAGGTTCGTTTAGAAACTTAAACATGTTTGAGAGAGTGATTAGTAAATAACGTTGCAAGTAATTTAATTTCTTTCAAATCCAAAACGTCCAGATATTTCCAAACGAGCCCTCCTTTCATTCAAGCGAAATTTTAATTTCAAGAACGGTGGTGAAATTTCCAACTAAACCAGTTTAAAACCACGTCCATGGTATTGTTAGAGAGATTGTAATATATCTCTCAATCTTGATATCACAAAATTGGATTAAACACATTCGGGAAGTGTGGACTGAAGCAAACACGCGCTGCAGCGCGCAGGTATGCGCGCTGCAGCGCACGGACGCGCTACAGCGCGCTTGGGTGCTGCAGCCTGCACAAAATAGACCTCTCGGGCCTGTTTTTGCTAGTTCCGCGCGCTGCAGCGTACAGCAGCGTGCCACTAGCTTTCCCATCAAAATCAACAATTTAGAGTTTGATCTTTCTCACCAAACATTCTCGTTTAATTAGATGCAATTGTATCATATTAGTGTGCCATAGTTCAAAATCAATGTTCATAAACAATTCTCAATTTAAATCATGATTCTTTGTAGATAGAGATTCATTCCAGAGAATCGGATGGAAAACAAGGATTCATGTGGCTAATCCACTCATTTTGAGTTCTCAAATGAGGTTAGGTCAATCCCAAATTGAATTTCGAAGTCAAAACAGGGTTTTCTGGGCTGCTCAGGCTCAGTTTCAGTGGGAACCGGTCGACCGGTGACAGAGAAGTGTAACTCCACCGGTCAGCCGGTGGAGAGGTGACCGGTCGACCGGATCGATCGACCTATGGAAGGGTGACCGGTCGACCGGACCAGTCAACCGGTGGGGAAAAATTCCAGGGCTAACAATGGCCGATTCGCGAGGAACAAAGCCAAAACCTGTAATCTTGGGTTCGATTTTGACATATTCTCAAGGGATATGTATAGATCCAGTTTCAAATCAACAAATAGGGTCCAAAGAATCAAAAACCCCCAATTTTCATCAAGGTTTCACCAAATCCCATTCGGAATCCATTTGAAAACAAAATTTAAACCAAAAATCACCAAACTCGACTAAAACGAGTTCCACAAAGCTAAATCTGAAAATCTAAAGTAAGTTTCAAAGAGTTTTACCTCGATCCAAGCTTTGATGTTGAAAACCTCTTGGAAACTTCCGTTTTTGGTTTAAATCCGGCCCTTGAGAAAGAAAACTTTGAGAGAGAGAGGGAGAGACGAATGGAAGAGGGAGAGAGAGAGAGCTCGAGGTAGAGAGAGAGAGAGTAAGGGAGAGAGCTCAGGAGATTGAGAGAGGGAAGGAGAGAGAGAGTGTCGAGACAGAGAGAGAGAGAGAGAGTAACGTGAGGAAGGGAAAGGAAAAAGGAAAAGGAGAAATAGAAGGAAAAGAAAATTAGGAAAAATAAATAAAATAAATAGGGGTGAAATTGTAAATACTAAAATAAATTTAAAAGCTCATGATTAATTAAGAAATCAATTTGGGCACACTAATAAACCACAATTATCATAATTAAATAAGTTTAATTCCGGAGGGCGTTACATTCTACCCCCCTTATGAAATTTCGTCCCTGAAATTGAAATTTACCTCACGATATGAACAGATATGGATATCGTTCCTG